CATTATGTCTTAATACAGCAAGCTATATATTGTACCAAGGTAGAGTTGAAGATACATGGTACGCCTTAACTAACATTAGTCTCCTGGTCTAGACACTGATGCAGACATACACAACAAGCTGCATGTTGTACCGTTAATCATAAAGCTTTTAGATCAATCATGCTTAAATTGTCTAAACACAACACTATATGAGATATCCTCGTCTTATGCCATACTTACTTATAGTGATTAAAAAAGTAGCTCAATTTCATTGAGCCATGTATACAGTGGACTTTAATCATACGTAAACGCTCTTCTTTATCCTTAACTAAAAATGTTTTAAAATCTTACATATTGTATATTTTCACTAAGAATCATGGTATAGACTTTAGAGAACGTACTTTAAAGACTAAATCTGATGAAATAGTTATTTGTGTAACTAGTGGTGAAAGTGGCACTTTGCTGCACACGAGAGCGGCTCGTGCGGAATGATCTCGAGTGCAGCAAAGCCATATTTCACTCGTGTTACACTTTATATTTTTCCTACAGTCACTATAAAGCATATAAATAATTAGTCTTTCTCAAACACTATACAACACGTTTTTAGGTGCAGCTGGCAACACAAATGGTGCCCTAGAGAAAGTAGTACCCGCGGTCCGTATCACTCCGCTATTTTTCCTCGGCAAGAAATGGGCTCCATGTTTTGAGAATATAGTTCCGTATGTTTTTGTAATTTGAAGTGATTTCCGCGCCTAAAAAAATGCTTTAAATGTATTTTCTTGTTTATTAAGATCGTAGGAATGTTTTAAATACGTTTAAAAGAAAAGTCCAGAAAGTTCAGAAATACCGAAACGATAAACACGAAATGACAGGTTAAATCGTAGTTATAATAGTCAATCAGCTGCTCATAGTATTATTATCTTTAAGTGTTGCCAACATATTTCCAAGCGTACACGGATTACGTGCATACTAGAACCACGCTGTTCTGTGTTGTTTCGTTGGAATCCTGATGTGCGGCAAAGTATAAAACGTACGACAAAGTATAAACCGTACGGCAAAGTATAAATATGCAGCAATTAGCAGCTTTCTGTACTATAAACAGTACAAGGAAGCCATCTTTGTCGGGTGACTGTAGGAAAAAGGTTTTGTTTTAATTGAGACTATTTAGTTCTAACTCAAAAAATTATTTGTGCTTTTGCTCGTCAATAAAAACAAACCTTACGTTTTCAGTTACTTAATCAAACTTCTATTTTGTAGTTTCAAGTATTCATATACCTTTAAAATGTCAATTAAACGGATGGTTCCTTTAGATCTACTTATCATGTTGACGACCAAAATTAAATTGCTAACAAAATAGTTCTCAAATTCAAATTCAAAACTTCTTTATTCTGCAACATGTAAATTGTTTACAAAATAATAGAATGAGACCTAACCTAAATTATACATATTACTAATATCTAAAAATACACCCCACGTTTTTCAGTTTTCAGCTCTTAAGCAAATATATACAATACAACATACGTTACAAACATCACCCTAAAAAACTGAGTCTTACAAAATGATAAGCAATACGGAAGATAGGCACATGTTTATTATATCCTATAATAACCACGTCCAGCAAAGATTTTTCTAATATAATTTTCAGATACATCTTAATTATATTACTCTTGATTACGGTACCAACTGTTGGAGAGATTAAACACTGAATTAATCAAGATCAAATATTAAATGTCAATACCATCATGTGTTTAATGAAATATTTTGCTAACTAGTAAAAATCAAAGCTTTTGGTAATCACATTAGTTTTATCGTAGGTATAATTGTCAAGGTTTATTTAATTTTGATACTCTTTCGAAGAATCAATGGCACTGGTTCTACAAAAGATAATTACAACACAAAGGGTTTATCTGGTTATATCACGTGAACACATCTACAAAGTACCATGAATGAATAGACAATTATAAATAACTTTGAACAGGTTTATATATTAGTTTATAAATTACCATGAACTAGTTATGAACATGGGCTAAATATACAAAAATTTCATAAAATAATATTTTTATAAATGCCTGTCTTGTAATTAGTGTTATGATAGTTACGTTAATATCTTCAAAAGATGAATGCATTATTGGTATTATTTTTTTGTAAATGTTCTCTCATGCCTGTAAGAGTCATACACTTTATATTTACTTACATCTGTAACGTATAGTGGACAAGCCTGATATTGACCAAGAATATAATCTAATACAACTCATCCATAATTTATGATAGTCGAAAAAGGGCAACTGAAACAATAAGAAAATGCGCAATTTGAAACATTGTAAAAGATTACTGTTTGTTCCAAATAAGTGAAGCAACAGCGACGTTGGTTCTGAATCTTCCGCCCTACCAATCACATTGCTAAACACATTTATCATTGGCGGGTTTTGAACCCACCCCCTTCCGAATACTCTATACTGTAAGTGGAGACGTGCACTAAATGAGACTTGTCCCAATTTCCTAAGACAGAATTCTTGCGAAGTGTCGCTAGACTTAAATGTAGATGGAATGGCAGTACTATTAATAGGTAACTGCTATTGCATAGTTATACGTTATACGTTATACGTTATATATTATATATATATTACAGTTAACAAACGATTAAAGTAGTATGAATACTGTCTCAAACAATAAATTAAAGTAATTAAAATTGTTCAACATTAATACTTGTATATTGTTATAAAACCAATATATTTACAATGAGTTGAAAGGATTCATTTGCAACATGCAGTCATCCATTCACAATCAATCGACAATAATATAACAGATTTACAGTGAATAGACGGAATCTTGTTAAATCAAACTTTTAGTCGCTTATTTAAATTGACCTAGTTCTTGGAACAGAACAAAGGCTGAAAATCATAATGACTGGCGTCATTACCGTTGTACAAGTTGTCATCGGAAAACTAATTGATGCAGGATAAAATTAGAAAGTTACAACAAGTTCTTGGAAAAAAATTAAAAGGTTTTTAGTAAACTATTTTTAAACAATGGTCAATTTATCTGTTAAAACTCTAATATAAATGTTCTTACTTGGAAATCTTTATTATAAAGTGATTTTTTGAATACAATATTTTAGTTTGACGTAAAAACATTTATAAAAAGGGAGAAGTATAATGATGAGATTTACCTAATTTATGTGACAAAATTCCTTTATCCTATGTGAACTTATAAATTATCTGCTCAATTTAACCACTGTACTGTGGTATCATTGATCATATATATTTTAAGATAGATTCACTGTAATATATATATATATACATATATAGTTTAAAAACAGTTAATCATGTTGTTTGAAATGTAATAAATTATCTGTAGATTGTTTTTATCTACAACACACACCGATTGTTTGAAGGTAAGAGATTTTAGTCGTTACAACGGTTTACAAGTAAATAGTTTCAAAATTAACTACTTCTACTTAAAACATTTGGGCAGACCACCATATTAATGTGGAAATAAAGTCACTGCACCATAGAACTAAACGTCTTCGAAACTTTATACTTGAAGAACTTTATTCACCCAAGAATTTAAGGCAGGTCGGTAGACAACGAAGTCATCGCTACTAATGTCAATGTATATGAGATTAACGTTAATCAATAGCAACATTGATTACCTCGTTTAAATAAAACCCTGGGGAATAACCAAATAATTCATTGTATTGTTCGTCGTTAATAAATACCAACCTTTGTTTACTGCCAACAATGTTTTAATAACTGTAATTGCATTGACTTTTCAGCGAAGTAAATAATTGAAAAGTTTAAATTGAACTAGGAATGGAGTTTCTTTGGTTGAATGTAATTTATAATAAAATAATATTTTTTGAACATTTTAATTATGAAGTACATTATTACTCATTGTAGTTTATATTAAAATAAAATCAATGTCTTATTGCAATATCAATGTGAAAGAATTTAATTTGAATGTATTTTGAATTGAATATGAGAATGAAATTTTTTTAAGATCTAGATTACGACTTATTGAGACTAATTAAGAAACTTACAATCCTGTCGTTGAACTTAACCTTTCAGTAAACAAAATAACTTGGTATTATTATTTACACGGAAAATATTGTCGATATTGATCCATTATTTGTACTTATAAAGCTTGTTTTATATTTCGCTTTATATTAGCATGTCGTTGAAACACTGTAATTCCATAGACATATTTGTAACTTCGTCGTGTTTTAATCAGTTATGACAAGCTTTCAAAATAAAATTTATTGTCACTACTGTACTAAAAGTCATCACTAATAAAATTCCTAATTGAAAACGAACGCACTTTAAATTATGATGCAATATATCATAACGCCAAAATATAATAAGCTTACTAATGCTTAATAGGAATCAACCATTTAGTTACACATATATTCCTTACGATAATCGTATATGAATCTGAAAACTTACACGTTAAAATTGTTTTACGAATGGATTGTTGGATACAAATATTCCTGCTTTAGATGAGATCATTTTATAAATCAGATAAAATAATGATGTAAATATGCAGACTATGGACGTTATTAAAACATGCCGAACATCTGGTACTCACATATTTCCCGAACTTAGGTCAAGAACCCTAATAAGGTAGGGTAGAGCGAAAATAAGAAGTCGGTGATTCATAACTAATTAAAACGTCGAATTTCGAGTATTTTTGTCACCAACGCAAAACACGTTTAACATATTTTGATTGCAAGCTCATTTAAACAATCTAAAACGATATACTCTTGACATGGCTAGTACAAAATGACTCAAACTTCATATAAATAAACATTGTGGATGTGATAGAAGTTGAGTTTTGTTAATTATATATTTTAAAACTATCAAGTTACACACTTGGTAATCTAATCCACACAGTTGATGGCATAGAAACATGGAGACATTATGTACTTATTTCCACTGTGAAAAATCATTGAATGCCTTCTGCAAAGCTAAGTATCACAAACAATAATTTAATAATCAACTTTTAGTATTAGTTGGGGAATATATTTAAATTATAAAATATGCTCCTACCTTGCACTGTCCAGCTATGCAGACCCAGCGGTCGGTGTCGTGGCCGATGATGTATCCTCGGCAAGGAGTACCATCCTCTACTGACGCGTTCAGGGTGGCGTAGAATCGGAACCCCTTCGCCCGACAGTTGAGAGCACACTGGTTGGGAGCTGAAACAATTAAATAAAATTTATAAATAAATTAAATAATTTTTAATTCCAAAACTATTTATGTTTCACCTTTAGCCTATATTCCAGAACTGTAGTCTGTCTTAAGAGTACTCGTAGGGGGAGCGAGCTGGCGTAGTGGTTAGAGCACGGGACTTCAGTCCCTGTGGTCCCGGGTTCAACCCCTGCCAAGTCACCAATGGATTTTATCTAAGTGATAATGGTGCAACCCCTAGGTCTAGCCGGAAGTAATGTGAAAATCAATCCCAGGCTCGTGCCTAGCGTCCTAGGACGAAAAAGAGTACTCGTAGGCTAGCGGTTATCTTGGATTAATTTCAAGCAGCTGTTAAAAAGCTATTTACTATACCAAAATAATTTTTTTTGTACCGAAGTGATTGTTATAAAATAGTGAATATGAGGAACTGTGAGATCAGGAATTATCTTTGTTGTTTTGTAATTGTCTTCAAAGGGAGTCCTTGGAGGCTATCTTGGGTTTCTCCACCAAAAGATCAATATTAATTTAAACAGCCACTTAAGAATTATTTACTATCTCAAAATAGTTTTTCAAATATCTAAGTGATTGTAATACAAATAGCTAGGGCACTGTGGGATTGGGTAGTTAGTTTTCTTTGAAGTTTTATAATTGTTTTATAAGTTAGAACGTCTAGGCTCAAAGTACTCTTAAGAATTATTCCAGATTAGGCCTAGAGGAGTGGAATGATCACACAGCTTATTTTATTAATGATTGGTGGGGTTTGAACCTTACAGCACTATGACAGAAGTCCCACATTACTACACCAGTTCATCCCTCGTAAACAAAAGCAATACTACTATTTCTATGTTCAAGATGTAGCTAATTAAAAAAAAAGAATGTAGTTGAACTAAACCACCGACAGAAATCATGAATTTACATCACCTAGCTAACTTACTATGATTAATCGATACCCACTGAAATAACTACTCATTGGCTAACTTGAATGACTGACGTAATGACTGCATCCAGATATTTTAAGCAATATCAACCATTATAGTTAACAAAAATCATCTCCTACTCTAGATAATTAGCATAACCGAATAAATAAAAAATATAAACATAGTTCGCAATTTTCTTTAGTAGACGTTCAAAACTTAACGAAAATAATTCTTATACATTCCTAATCAGTTTAGAAATTGACAACACAATTATATCTTGCTATTTGACAAAATTTACATTTTACTCAAACATTTCTGTTAGGTTAAATAGGTATAATAATTCATACTTATGTGAGAGCCAAAGTACTCATACACGACCACAAGTCTCTGCATACCAAACAAATGCTTGCAAGACGCTTACCGCGCTAACGCCCTGCAAGCTGCTTACTTCATTAAGCCTGTAACCTGGAGATGGGAAGAGCTAGTCTCTTGAAAACGTTGTTAATTAGTGAGTTAAAGTAGAAAATGTCTAGGAATAAACGTTTTATGTTTTTACTTTATTTTGCTTTCGAGGACGTCTATCTTCTGATTAAACTCTACGAAGGCAGATTGTAGGGAATCTCTAAGTAAAACATGACTATACCAAAATAGGTATGTATTTGACCTATTCTCACAATATAGGAAAATAGTCTCTAGGCCGGGACAGTTTTACACACTACTAGGTCAGACAAGGGATATCCTCGCGGAATCATCCTATAGCTACAGAAGATTGGTGAATGGCGTGATTTGAACTCGGAACTTTTAAGACGGAATCCCCCGTTTTCATTAGATAACCGCAATCCTTAGACTTTGTATGTTTGGCATTCGTACACGTTTAGCGTGCAGATGAAATTTCCAACCATGGAAATAGTCAAAAATTATGTGGAGTTAACTGTTCAGTCTCATTCATTCAAAGTCTAACGAAGAAAAATATAAAAACAATTGTGTAAAATGTTTTTAGCGTTTGTATTAAAATTTGCAACATGGATACAACAGAGGAAAAATATATTCCTCTATAACGCAAATAAATGGTATTCTTAAAATAAAAAATTGTAAATTAATTTAATTTGTTTAATTTAACTATTTATTTGTAAATCCATAAAATTCATGTATTTCGAATGAAAACTCATCGATGTAGAAAAGTCTAAACAGTTTAAATTTGAAATAAAATAACGTTTGTTGAAAATTCTAACGTATTACTAGGATTTCATTCTAATTAAATTAGTACCCCAAACTATTATTTTACAAGGTAAACATATTAATTAACACATTCCTGATTGAGGCTAAATAATTCCTTAATATTGAACATATAAACTTAAGTTTCAAATTACGATACGTTTTGCACACAATGAAATAAGAACCATGTGTTAATACAAAACACTATATTGGTTCAAAGCACCACATTTCATACCACAATCAAGCTTGGTTCAAACTAATAACCATGCTAAAGCGAACAGCACGACTATGTAAATAATAACTGAGTGTTCAGTTATGCTCTTGTTTGTGCCATATTGCGGAACAGGGCGCGCTACGTAATTAAAAACAGCTCCGTTGAAATTGCATTTCATTCCCGCATTATTACAGTTCAATTGTATTAGATAATTGAATATGCCAAAGAAAATAAATTTAGCTTCAGTATGGTGTCTGATCTTGTTTTGATCCCCAAATTATGGCATTTGAAATTCACTCGTGGTAATTCTGTTTTATCGGGCGTTAAAATATTTTTTTTTTGTTTTTGAGCAAATAATAAAATCATTCAATACTTTAATTTTATTAGTAATAGTTTCGTTTTTGGGTTTTCCATAAGTAATGTTTAGAGTGTTTCTGCTATTAGTAAGTCATAATAATAACTTCTTTCTGATTGTTATTTGAGAAGTAATGCTGGAATGTATTATTATAATTAGTAAAATATGAGTTCTTCAGACGTTTCGTGATATGATCCTGACTTGAGAATTAATCTCTAACATACTAAGTCCCAGATCCTAAAAATCGTGAAAACGAGATTTTCTTAGATTTTAATAATCTGAAACTATAATCTTATCACCAAAAGAAAAATATTTATCTTATCTTATCATCGAAAAAATTACCTTTAAAAGGTTAAATTTGATCAGGCTTGCACAACGGATGTTGAATAAACTTTCCAGAAGATTGAACACTAAAAATAGTATTGAATAGGTATTTATTAAGAAATTTTTATTTTATTTAACGTATAATGTAAGTTGATACTCAATAACTTTGTATACTGCGCAATCACTAAGCCCATAGGTTCCAGGTATTTCATAACCAATTTTAAATACAAAAATAAATCTTGAAAACTAAAACAGATTTAATATTGTTTATACGAGTTCACAGAAGTAATTCTGAATACAAAAACATTCTTGGAAATTTTGTATAGATAAATTTTATGTGACTCCGAGTTTTCTCCATTTACAAACTGGTGTTGTTCACGATGATTTACTTATTAGTAGTACTGAAGATGGATGACAAAATACCTAGAATACATCTAAAAGAAAGAGGGTTACGTGGAAAACTCATCATGTGAATCATGTGGAACAAAATGAAGGTGACTTTTCCATATTGAGTTTTTAATAAATTTTTCTATGGTGTAAAATAAAATATCTCATTGATTTTTGCAGATAAAGCCCTTTAATATGGATATATTTATCCTTATCTCATTTAATTTTCTACTTTACATTACTGGATAGATGAACAGTAAACATATACCTCACGATTGCATAGATAAAAGACTTCTGTGTTTTGCGAAATTTAACTTTCACTAACCTTTAGAAAAAAACACTATTTTACAAAATGTACCTAATCAATTCAAATACCGTTGTATTCAATAAAGTACACCGATTTGAAAGAAGGTTTTAACTATAGTGTAGAGTAGAATCCAGTACAGGACATCTGGGAAATCAGTCCGTCGCCGAAAGAAAACAACAGTCTAACTGTTGTTCGAAATACGTCGAAATACTTCGATGTAAACAATAGTCTACTTATCCTAACAGTAGCATATTAGTGTGTAGTAGTAAGAAAGACTTATGTCCTACAAATATTCCTAATGTCCTCATATTGCCAATACAATTAGTATACTAGGAGAAGGTTTTTATGTTATATTATATTTTTTTATTGTGTTTGAATAGCTATATGAGGAAGAAAACAGTTTATTTTAACGAAAACAACAAACGAAAATAAATAATGTTTGCCATCAATATCGACCTATGAAATAGAAATACTCTGTATCTATGCTCAGTTGGTTAAACTTACTGGTTTTAAATTGCCAGCTGTTACCAAATGTTAATATTTGTATTAGATTGCTTACTAATAATTAGAACAAATAAATGTTTATTAATTTTAATGAGAGAATGTAAACAAAAGTTAGTAGATTTGTTGTCTTTTGACCAAAGATGTTAAAATGGTTAAAATAAAATATTGTTATTACTAACTTTCACGGAGTACTAATCTTTTTCTCAGTTTATTTGTAACAGTATCTGTAATGCATACAGTGGTGAATTAAAACATACAAGTTTTACTTTTTAAATACGCTCAGTTTTGCTAACACGTCATAACCTTTTTCCATCGTTCTTAAAACAATAAATTTACAAAAGATTATAGATTTGTTAAAAATTAACCAAAGCATTGCATGATTGAGTCTAGGTGATATTGGACATAGAATTTCTTTGCAAATGTTCTTACCTTCCATGAACGGCTCCCAAGTGTAAGCTCTTCCTAAGAACTCCTGACCGTCGTAGCGCGAACATTGTTCTTGTCTGAAGTCCGTCGTGCCCGGGCATTCCTGGAAAATAATATTATTGTAATATAGAGAACACATCTGAATATTTAAAACCATAAGTCTGGTCATAAGTCTTACTTCATCTTTTATGACAAGTAGTTTAAAATACCCCCGTCTCAGCAAACCTGCAGACTAAGATCTAGTCTGATTACATTTTTATTAAAACATTCCATAAATAAGGCATATTTATTCAAAATAAAAAAAAATTGATTTAACGAGTTCTTAGGTTTGCTGCTATGGGGAAGGTAAAGAGTGTTTTTGACCAAACTGTAATAGCATAGGATGAAATAAATAAATGTCTTACATGTTATCAACATATATATTCATAAACAAGTAAACTACAACAATTTTAATTTTTTCCATAAGAATAACAATGAAATTTTAAACTTACACTTTTTTTCTCTGTAACCTTTAGGCATACAACAGAGCTTCTATATTCTAAATTTTTTTAGGCTCTACAAAATTGTTTAGAAAGAAATTGAAAAATTTTGTGTTTTTTGGGTCAAAAATGGGAAAATAGTAGTTTACGCAACGATTGCGTTAAGTGAGTCTTTACGACACGAAGGCTCGTGCCTTAAACACTTCTACGAGTGTCGTAAAGACTATTAACGCGAGTTGCGTACACTACTTTACCTACGACCGTTTTTTAATTACTATCAATCTGGATTTAATTACTAACAATCACTAATGATAACTTTTTAGAGAGGTTATGTTTTCGTGTATTGTCATTGCCACTGAAAGTGATGCAACGACTTGTTGTATAATCAGCTGATTTCCTGTAATTACGTGTTTGTTAAACTTCGTCAAATATTACATTGCTAGCAGCATTCTTACCATAAATAATATTGTATCAGGTACAATTCGGCAAATATTTCATTTATTTTTGGATTTCCACCAACTTAATTAAGAATACGCGAGTATCAACATGAACAAGTCGGATCAACAATTAAATTGGTTAATTGGAAAATGTTTGACGTAGGTTTTAAATCAAAATAAAATTCGTTATAATTTTTAGGACGATTCTAGTAACTCAATTTACTAAACGGAACTCTTGCTGCTCGTAAAAACATTTATTTCCTTTAAAATAACGAGACATTTCTTTAGAAAGGCAGCAGCGTTAATTGTTTAGTTAAAATTAACAGACCTCCCTTGTTACCCGTCTTCAGTTTGGAGATACTATTTATCTTTGATAGCTCTTCCAATGGAGCGACGGTTGGCAATGATGACATAGCAGAGGTAAAGGTTTTTTAATGTATGTTATATCCCTATCAATGGTATTAAAACTAACAGATAAAATTTGGCAAAATTAAATAAACTAATAATGTATGCAGTTTCAAAACACAATAATTTCATAAGTTCGCATGGCTTAAAAGGTATGCTTTAAAAAAATCTACTGTTTTATGGCACTATTTGGTTAGATTTCAATACGTTTTAAAGGTTTGAAATTTTTATGATATCTAGCTGATTTTGACTGATACAATCCTAAAATGTTTGGTTACAGTAGTAATAAGGAGCAAGTGAAGCTATTTAAAAATGCTGAGATAGTATATTGCATCACTAGAGCGTAAAGTGACTCTTTTTGACCCAAGCATAAGTTTTGCCATATTGTAACATAATGATAATATTGCACCAATAATTACCAAACTAAACTAGAAACCGAAAATACTTCTCTTGTTAAGATAACCTCTGAAAACGACTTCCAGCTTGTGTCTAATTCTGGTAATGTAAATAACCACCTGTAAAAAAAATGATTCAATTATTTCGTCTTTCGCCTATTACGATTGTGTTTGGCCTACTGTACATTGTACCATCGATATGTAAAAAAATTTACAAGAACGCAACAATAAGCAAAAACGTTTACTAATAAATCATTCGATTATAATTTGGATCTATGCGATTGGTACAATCAAACTGTATAACAGTTTATGCCAGATTGTTTTTACTCCCTATAATAATAAAAGGTTGTTTTACTCCATTAGGAGAAAAAAGTATATTTTAGACCCACGACGAATGTATAAAAACGGTTGTAAAAAAAAATAATTAATACAACCACAAAACAAACGCAATAGTTTTTAAACATATTTATCTTCATTAATATGAGCCTACTTCATATTTTTTTCAACTATTAAAATTATACATAGGCCTACTATTAATCAATGTTAATAATATATGTGTTAATGTTATGTGTATAATAACATTGACAAATAATTGATAATGTGAACAATTCGTATATTAAAAGTTTGTATAGTCATTAACTTAAGCTTTGGTAAAAGAAGCTTGGTTAGTAAACATGAGGATTTAGCAGTGAAAAGGTTTGAAATATGATACACTTCAGACTGTTACCCGGTTGAGGTAGTGAGCTGCGTTTCTTTTATTCAAAAGGCATCAGAACCATCTTTCACACGTTTTTATAAGGCAAGCCTTTCTGACTTTTGAAATTCACGTAATGAAATTATTTAAATTACTTTAAATGCCTAATATTTTATGTGGTGATAACTTAAATTTCAAGTCATATTTTACTTGTCAAATATTTAATGTTGAATTCTTGTTGGCTTTACCAATGACAATAATAATAATAGTAGGAAAAATACTTGTGAACGTTTGGTTATAAGTTTATCGGGAACTGTCAACTATAACATTGTATAATTAGGTACTTTGTATTTATTTACTACGAACCGAAGTGTATTATTCTCCTAAACTTTAACTGGTACATTTTACTAATATTTTTAGGTATTAAAATATGATTATACTTGTTCTAGTGATCCTAAGATACATTGCTATGATATACTATGTAAAACCTTAGTAACCATCGTCCTTTTCGTAACAGTACAGTTGCAATTTAATCAAATTGAAATTTGATAAATCATCTAAATATATTATTTTGATGATCATACTCACTTGTTATTTGTAAATTTAACTTATGTTTAAAATGTTGTATAACATGTAAAATCTATGTGTTTGACTATTACTTAAAAACATCACTAATATATTTTTAGTCAAATTTAATGGTGCACTACATGATTATAGAATGGTAAAAGATTTTCGTTACACTACTGTAAAACGACATGTTTTTTTTGCAATTTGCAATTTATCACCGATTAAAATGTATCATTACATTGTTTATTACGGCAAAATAATGTTTACTTTGCGAAAGAAATGTTTACTATCTTTTTTAAATTTTACCGACGTAAACAAACAAATATTTGCTATTGTTTTATCAACTGTTTCAATTTGCAACAAGTAAACTAAACATCAAGTTAAAATAAAATTCATAACCTAAAATATTCTATGAGTTTTGTAATGAAGAAAATAACTATTCTTTGTAGAGTAGCGAAAAGTAAAGTTTAAAACACGAGTTAAAATGGGTCCATACATATTCTTGACTACTTCAAACTTGGTCTCAAATATTTAATGACTCACATTCTACTTTTTTAATGAGATATACTATAGTAATGTGGCGTGTTTAAATATAAAAAATGCGTACCTACAGATATAAACCTATTTGCGAGAAATATTGTCCTTTTATACTTAATCAAATTGATCATACAAGAATTGTATACTATAATGTACTATATTATAATAGAATTGTACATGCTGTAAGGGAATATATGTTAAAAAAATTAAATGTTCTTTTACTCCTCTATAAGTACAAAATGTATTAGATGAAACTAAATTGAGGAAGCGGTAAAAGGTGTTGTTTTATTCAAAAGTGCAACCTTAAGCGTCTTCGCTTCTTTTTACGATAGGATCAGACAAAGACATTTTCAAGCTTCAAAACCAACTTTTTGTATTTACCTAAGTTGGCTACATATGCTATAAATTAATAAGATAAAATATAATGGGAGGACTTTAGAAATGTACCGCTGAATTTAAGATGATGAAGTAGACATTCCAATTAAAATGTCGAGTTGTATCCTGTTTTTCATCCACGAAGAAAAAGTTAAATGGTCAACCAATAGAGTGGTCTGGTCTAAAATGGATTTCATAATTACGTTTTTGTTACTGAGACAGTTGTGACATAAAGAAAAAAAATTGCCTAAAATAAGTCTTCCAATTGGTATAACTTGGATAAAAAAATAATGTATTACATTAAACTATGTCAGTTCCATTAATTTTTTATACAATAATATAATGGAGGAAACCTTTACATGAAGATGGGATTACAATATACACTAAAAGTTGTCAAAAGGGCAAAATATAGCATTATTTTCAATATATAAAAAAATACAATATTTTTTTTTAAATTAATGATCATAAAAATAATAATAATAATGAGGTTCAAAAATCTATAATGGTATTACTTAATTACTTTTACCTGTATGAACAAATGTTTAACAAAAATCTTGTGGGATAAAATGTCCCTTACTACCAAACCAACTGAAAATAGAACCGTAAAAACTAAATATGCTCGCTATTAGCTAACACTTGCATTTTGCGACCACTTAGACATTTACGACTTATTTCCTTAATTGTATATTTCTGCAAATACTAATACTACTGTGAGTAATGGAATAAAGAATAATATTGCAATATGACGAATTACAACTGTTACAGACCCAACATAACGTGGAATCACGGCTTTACAGTGTATTTCCCTGGCTATGAATACAGAAGACCAATTAAAACCTGACACCTCTCCTCTTTGTTTTATCTTAATATCTTCATTAAATTTCAATGCAGAGGCTTTTTTAAGTAAACCCATTAATAAAGTAGTTTAAAAAGGTACTGAAAGCTAAGAAAATAAAATACCGAGTAAATTAGTTGATGGTCATGATATTGTTAATTGAACTCCATTGAATGAATAACAAATACATCAGTACCATTAACAACCTCCACTTATGCAATTCATATTTTTATATTACAGGTTGCTTTATTGTAAATTTATATTTTTTTATAATGTCGTTTCTTACTATTTGTGGTTTATTAAACCAGATTACATTGCGCATTTCATTTACTAGGAAGGAATGTATACAAAAATGTATAAATTACGGTTAAGCGATAAA